ACAAAGCTGTTCGGATAAAATAGATGCTCTTTGCCATCTTCTATGCATCGGCAGTGTCTTGGTGAGTTTCTTTGCCAAAAATGGCCCTTGGGAGTGTGTGCAATGACCCCCACCTGCACCACACCACTGATCTGTATGCTTTCTAGGCTTGCAGCTTTGCTATCAACCTGCGAGCCTGATGTTAAGCTCATTTGAAAGAACGAGACTTTCTCTACACGATAGTTATTCAAATTAGGTGAGTTTGAAGATTCTCGGAGATTTTACGGACGGGGTGAAAAGGCGCAGCTTTAAAGGTGATTGAAGTGAAGACTCTTAATGACACCAGTATAGCCTTAAAGCTAAGAAATGGATCTATTACAAGAAAATTGAGAGTTCTGAACAATCAGGATGAAAGTGGTGACGAAGCTCTGTTTTAGTGAAAAATCCTTAGCATACCACAGAAGCTGCCCCTTTTCACCCCATCCGTAGGCTTGGAAATGGAAATTAGAGGTAATTTTTTGAAAAAAAGCAAAATAGCATTCCAGCTTGTGTTTTTCGAGAAGTAACCATCACCTTGTTATTGTCCTCATTGAGCTTTATGTAGTATTACCTGTTCGGATAACTTGTGTTTTCGCTGAAAAACAGTTTAGAATACATGTTTTTCATAATGCGCAATGCATAAAATGTAGCTCTTTGAGAGCTCTATCAACCTATGCAATCATAACATTTTTTCATCCTTTTCTCCACCTGGTGAATGAGCGATGAAAAGGGGAGGGGAGCTTGTTCGAAACTTTTTGGCGGTCACTCTACATGAAAGCTTGAGCACGAGTGATGCGAATTTGCGGCGTTGTGGTCGATAAGCGAGTTCGCTCCAGAGTTGGCATCTTTTCCTGATATGTGCGGACTTGCCGTCATCTTCGATGTCACAGGTAGGGTAGATACTGCCGGCCCAGTTGAAGCAACTATGAAGATTTAGCCTTTTCCAGACTGAACTCCCTCACCCCATAGTACTCTGTCAATGTGTAAGAGAACAGCAGCCATGCGCAAACAAGTACTCGTGAACAGAACGGCTTTTTTGGATCGAAGTTCGAGTTTTTGAAATAACCTAAATTTTGCTTACGCTGTGTTAATGCTAATTTAACATAGGTTAAAAGACAGATACCTGCTACAGCAAATTCTACCAAATCAAATATTGATGAGGAGTTTTTGGTGAGTAGTTTCTCGAAGAGATGCAGGAGGCAACTCACAATAAAACCAGCTATCAAGACCAAAAGCATTGCCTGACAAATTGTTAGCATGTAGTTATAATGTAACACTTTTGAGAAAGTTATGTCATTTCAAGGTCGCTTTTAAAAAAATAGAGAGCAGAATGGACTTGATCTACACATGAAAATAATGACACTCGACCGTGTGTTGATTGCTAGTACAGTTTATTTCGCACCTCAGTTTGAGCTGTATTTGGAATGGCGGGGCTTCCCCTCGCAGCAGTTCGCGCTGTCGCACTACAGCATAATTATGTGACAGAAAGCCATATATGCGTCATTCTCTCTGGTTTTTGAATGGCAAAATGGCAGTCCGCGTTCGAAGCCAGCGAAACGGACGCACTGCTCGTGAGATGCTTAGCCTATACCAACACATACAAAAACTTTCCAGAGCAGACTGAATTAGTGGGGTAGGTCTAGCTTATTTCGAAAGCAAGAGCTTGCTTGAAAATTCTTTATCCATACAGCAGAAGAAGCAACCTCCAATTCATTGATGATCTCAGCATGTAGTTATGGTGAATCATCAACCACTGAGCACATCTTAAAGACGCATAAGCCTGCTTAGCTTTTTCCAATACCGTCTGCTTTGACCGGATGTAGGTCGAAGCTTTCATGTACTTGTCCGTTTTGCCGAAGACCTGCGAAGCGGAAGAGTACTGTGTGTTGCTTAGAAGTGAGAGAGGAGACAATATAATTTTTTTGGACCTGAAGCAGGCGAAGCATTTTACGTGAAGCAGCGCGTCCGCATCACCAGTGGCTCAGCGAGATGAGGAGGGTGAAGTGACGCAGACTGCGAAATGACGCGAATCGTTGCGAAGCGGACTCCCAGCAATCCAGTTTCTGCCTAAACAGAATTGAAACTTAATACCAAAATATCATATACTCATTGCGATACGGCGCGTTGCGAAACAAACGACGCCATTCAAATCTGCACAATGTAGGTTTGGTGTGTACCAAGTGACAGGGTAGACGAGTTGTAGTGGAATAGGTTTATTCGCACGT